AATAGAAACGTGCACATGGCCACTTGCTTATCCCTTTTTAGATATTAGCACTGAGACATGTTCACTTTCACTGTTGGACTTGCTTGCGTCTTTTCGGGTGAGGCTTTTTTATGAGTCCGCTCAGTTTAATTGGTATGATGACCTTCTGCTGTTTGCAATGAGGCACAAAATCTGTCCTTACAACACGACGCTAAATCCAGCTGCCCAGCTCGTTGATCTTGCGTTCGACATTTCAAACCTCAGTCACTAGTTTATTATTCGCAACAGCTGACCAACAAACAGCATTGATTTACTTTAATTTAATTCCTTTCTTCCCTCGATGTTGTAAAGTTTGGCATAAATCACAATAGGCAAACGAAGATTGGCTGGCCCGGCCCTGCATCGCCACCGTTCTCATTCACTCCAAAGGTAGCCCTTTAATTCGCAAGCAAAAGCAACAATCGTTCACTAACACTCCCTTCATGTACTTGAAAAGTCACCTCACTGCGCTCAAGCATGCATTTACTAAGTTCAGTAACCATAGGTCGTGTAAGCCGGTCACGAAAAATTTTTCTTGTGCATAAACTTTCTAAGCTGCAGGTCATGCAAAAGACTTTGTATCCTAATGCTTTTCCCACTAGAAGCAAAAATGGACGTAGTAGCGTCTTCTAGCCTTAGCGATATTCAGGCAATCCAGTGCTCAGTTATAGTAGCTCTGGACCAAAACTTTTGGACAATTTAATAGGTTGGCATCATGTATGCAATGACACAACTTGACAGCTGGTCCACGTCAGTACTTGCGTTTCGTCTACTGCCAACAAATGAGTCTGGTAGACATAACCGGAAGCAAACAGCTGACTAATCTCCCGACCAAACATAGAATCCGGAAGTATATACGTAAATCTGGAAAGACATAGGCAACCCATCTTAAGACTACGCATAAAAGTACATAATCGGACAAGTTGGGATAACTCGGAAAGACAAAAAACGTTAAAACTAGAATGGATTTAATATGTACACTGCCCAGCGGTCTGGGGCAATAAATATACAAAAAGTTGTAGGTTTCTGTGAACATTTATCGCTTTGTGGGGTCTTGAGTGTCATTCATATGAGGAGGGGGAGCACGCCTATTCCTGATAGATGATAGGTGAGCCCGGTAGTGTCGCATCTGAACCGGAGTTGAAAGGAAGGGTGCTTTCATTGGACAGGGATTTCCAGTGAGAGAAGTATTTGAACAAAGGAGGTAATCAGTGGGGCTATAAAGAATCAGAAAGTACCTTCAGTGTTAAGGATTTTCAGAAAGAAAGACGAGGGAAAGGGATCATAAAATATACAGAATCGTCATTAGGCGTAAGAAGCATTCCAAAATGGACGCGATCAATTCCTTGGAGACTATGTAACATAGTTGCTATTCAATAGAGTTAAGCAAATGATTTGAAGTCTTATTATCGATTCGATAGGAAGATGATGAAATTCAAGGAGGCCCGCAAAATAAGATGACTTCGAGCAAGAAAGAATGACTAGTGCACTTCTGAACTTTATCTGTGAAGAGTATGGTAAAATGGATGAACCAAGTCCTATGTCGCAGAAGATTAGAAGAAATAGAAAACGACTGTTACTTTCGCCAAAGAAACAAACGTTTGTAGATACATAGTGCAATATATCAAAAATGGAGGACTGTGTGAGCATGGGGACCGCGGACGAGTAAACATATGACTGATACAAGCAAAAGTCATTCTGTTCCACTTTTTGTGACAATATACTTTGAAGTGCAGAGCTGTCACATTTTAAAAATGGGTAAAATATGGCGAGTGCTGCAAGCAAGAATCTTAACGAAAATTGACTTGGAAATTAGCATATGTATATTTGGTCACCACATTTTGATTCACTGAGTGGATTTGATCGTGAGAAACCTTTTTTTAAGGAAAACGGCCCCTAGTTAAGCTTATGAAAGGTAATGGGCATTAATTTTGGTGACATTGGGAGCAGTCTCATATCGAAGGAATTTCCTATGCTATTAAGTACGACAACACCAAACCTTTTATTTATACGCATTATGCTATGGAAAAACTCCAAAATAAGTTTAAAAAGTGTACTGTGTATATGGCCACCTTTTCGCCTTCGCAAGCTTAGAACAGAGCCTTGAAGTAATCCATACTGACGGAAAATAATCCAGTATAAGCAGAAAAGTGAGTTCTTTCATTTCCAGCCAAGTGGAATCATTTATCTTCAGCTAAATTAAAAAAAATGTCAAAAATCGCCATTTTACTTTTGATATTACCTTGGAAAAAGATAAAATGCACATATATTCGTCAGCTGCATATCTAATTAAAGTGCCTTTTGAAGATGTAACCTTGCGAATAAAAATATGAAACTTCTGTTGCGGACGTTCTCTTTGCTCTGCAATGTGTTTTACTGTTTTGAGGAATTTCTAAATATAGTTCATATGGCCACCTCAATAAGAACTTATATCCAAAACTCATTTTTTTCAGTAAATCCTCTTAATATATATGCTACTTTAAATGTTTTGGCATAAATGTCGAACATAATCTGTTTTAATGGACAAAGCCTCACAGCACTGGAAACGCTCAAACATTTATCGGCATTTAGAGGTTCATCTGTAAGTATTTGTAATTAAATAACGGCAATGTGTTCAAGATATTTTGACTAAGGAAAACATCTTTTCTATAAAGAAAGTGGTTAGGCTATGTATTCGAATTAAGAAAAGATTTAAATTTAAATTTATTTTTAGGTCTCCGGAACTTGGGGATTATCAAGAAAATTTTATCTTAACGAACAATTAGTACATCTTACACTTCTTTTAAGTACCAAATTTGCCTAATGTTTTTCATTATTATTTCTAAGTTTTCGCAAATGCCTTCATGCCGGCATGCGAGTAATGGTCAATCTTTTAAAAACTTAGACATTTTGCATGCAGTCCTCGCCATACTGTAGTTACTGGACGAAGGAGAATACGCCCGAAACGAACATTCCAAGGAATAATATGGCACAACAAATTCTGGGGGCAGAGCAATCACATTCTGCCGAGGTCTGTTACTCTGCACAGCGATTTTGGGCGTGTTTTCCGGCCAGGACTGATTAAAACACTAAGAACCACAACTACAATTAACCTTACTGGGCGGACTATCGTCAGCTACTCGTTGGACAGGTTGCTCCGCCCAAACGTGACGTGTAGGACGACTAAAGATGACAGGTGCCTAGGTCATGCTGCCTTATTTCACCTGGTGACCCGAGCTGGGCACCTGCCTAATATCGCTTGCGTGTTTGAGTCGAAGAAAATCTGCACACGTTTGGAGTACTTTAGGGCGGTCAACGGGAAAAGAAGTGGCAATACCGTCTTGTAGGGCCACCTAAATATCCATTCTCCCCGCTCAAATGTCTTATGGAACTGGCGGTTACACCTTTAATTCTCGGTTAAGGATTGTAACTAAATGTGTAATTGCGTCGAAAGTGACAAAAGAATATTAAATTACAGCAGGTTACAGTTGTTTTAATTAACTAAATGGGATCAATTCCATTAACATAAAGTCCTGTTGCTCAAGCAATTGATTCCTCTTGACGGAAATTTAACCCTATATTGGCGGAATTTAACAAAAAAGGTAATGCGATCTTATATTGGCGGAATTTGACGAAAAAGGGGAAAGTAAGGCTATTGCAAAATGTAACAGTAGATTATTATTATGGGGCAAAGGCAAGTAGGACCTCTAAAGACAGTCCTACCCAAGAAAGTTACATACTGAGAAGAAGCCGTGCGCTAGAGAATGTTGTCGAGGAAATCCACCCCAACAAACACTGCGTATGATCAATGTCGCGACCGCACAGCCGAGAGCGTCCTACTATCGGCAGTTGAAGGAGAATATGTGTGCAGCATCTTCGCGGTTGGTACATAAAACGGGCCGGCGGCAAGTCGTAACGAAAGAAATGCGCGAAATGTCATGGCTTAAAGTTGCGCTTGCCATTTAGCTCTCAACAGAATTTCGCCATAAATGAGTGCCAGTTGGGATCTCATTCTAAAGGTCAAAGGGGCAATATATGTCTCCCTCTGAAAAATGGAACTAGCCTGATCTTATCGTAAAAAGGCTCTTCGAATGCACATTTACATCACGGGGGCTGCTAATTAAGCCGTTGATGTGTCTATTGGATGAAGCAGATCGCCATTTCAGCAGAATTTGCACACGAATGCTTAACGTGCAACGTAGCAGTAAGTTGACTTTGCATGGCAGAACTCCACGTCGGGCTCTTCTGCAGCCGTGTGCATTTCATGAAGGTTTAAGAATTCACTTAGCATGCACAGTGGATTAGTACTATAAGCGTGTAATATTTAAAAACAGACTACATACAGAATTTAAATTTAGTACTCCTAGAAGCCCCGCGGGATCCACATAACTTTAGCTTCACGGCTTAGAAGCTATAACCGGAAGGCAACTCATGCGTAAATAAAAGGACCCGTTAGCCCTGGTAAATGGGAAAAACAATAAAATTAAAAAACCGCAAAGCTGTATTTGCCTGTGGTAGCAGGCATTTATCGACAGTCAAATGTAGCCAAAATATTCTTAAACATTCTGTTAACAATAATAATTTTCACATAAAACTTTTGATTTGTTAAATGTTTACTGTAAAACCGACGTATTTGTAGTAGAGGATAATAGTTGCTTCACTCTCGAAGCCTTGCTATCGTGGCTGACACATTATTAGATCGTGGTTCTCGTAGAGCTTAGAGCAAGCTGAACCCGCGAACCTCAACGAAAACAGCATACTTTCTGCTGTTGATACCTGGATAGGCCAGATAGACTGAACTTCTGCCGTCCTCAGCTGTTCTTTGGGTGTGTTAACAAATACAACATTTGCTCTAGTTCCGATTTCTGCCTACTATAAACATATGCCGGCGAACTATAATAGAAAGGACAAACTTACCTTCAGACCGATAGTTTTAAGTTGGTCATTTGGCCCGAAATAAAAAGGAACACCCAGGCTTTCGGATATTTTTTCTCATTCCCTCATCAGCAGAGCTTTGGGGGACGCAGGATTTTTTTAAAGAAGCCAGAGGCACAGAAAGTGTCAAAGGTGATATGCACGCGCAAGGCGGTATAATCTGCCACACCGCCAACGAGGAGGACTAGACCAGACCTGATCACAGTGCAAGTAAAGCAGGCGCAAGAAAATATATATGTATCCGACAGAAGACTTACACAAAAGGCTCAGAATCCAAGTAGAAACCCGTGGGCTAGCAGCCGCGTTCCGCAGACTGCCCAGACGGCCTTCTGACAGGGTGGGTGTCTGTATGTACATGTAAGCCTCCTCGCTGACCTGTAAGGAGGCGGGGAAACTGTTATCATCCTTCAGCTGCTGTCGCCCGCTGGGCATGGAGCGTGTACGGTCCTGTCCGTGGGATAGGGCTGAATTGCCGGAACGCAGCTGCGGTACTCTGAAGGTTTCCTGTTGGGAACCTCTCAAGAGCATTGACTGCACTTTCACTATGTAGACAGTTCCGGGTGCAAGTGACTCCAGAAGAAGGGAAGTTTCGCCCTAGAATTCACCAGAATATAAAATATATGTCTTCGTTGGTTCTACTACTGTAGCTTTTATGGCAGTGGCGGTGGCGGTTAATGCCGTTAAAACTGAAAATTTGACATTTACTTCCAGGTAACGGGCCAAGAAAATTTAATCTGACTAAACTAGACAGGAAATCATGTCAAAATTGGCCTAGTTTCGCATCAGCACAAAATTATCACCGAAAGAAATGTGCCACAGTCCATCAGGCAACCAGTACGAGGGAAATGAGACGGTAGTGTACTGACGATCGCCCTTATTTGTATGTGCTGCTAGTCGTTGTGCTAGTATCGGTAATGGCTCTCCATTGAACCCCGAGACACAATGCGACGAGCATTCTCAGTAACTTGATCACTGAACGTACTTAGTGTGAACAACCGTAATTACCGCGCAAATAGGGACTTCGATTTTGACCACTCAATCATAATTTGTTCATTGTCGCTAGGGCACAGAAATATAGACACCATCGTATGGCAACTAGTCTTTTATTAGAAGGGTTTGGCAGATTTGACGAATTCAGTTGACCCCATGATAGAGCGCTGGCTATGTAAAAGCCTTCCCTGTCGTGTGGGTTCGACTCCCAATGAGGTCGCGAATTTTTTACAATTGGTCCAACTGCATTAGTCTTCTTCCAAATTGGTAAGGCTAGAAAGTTTAGACATAGGGTAAGTGTTAGGAAGGCTAGGGTTAGGAGAAGTAGGGTTATTAAGGCTAGCGTTAGAGGTAAATCAAGCACACGGTAGCAGCTAACCCCTTGGAACGTAGCGTGAAGCCTATGGTAATAAGGGTGTCCAAAAGTTCAAGTCTGATCATTGACTGGCACTTTGTAATTTAAGTTAGTTCAGTGATATTTACTTACCATCTTTAAGACTTTATTGCGTATTTACTGCGACAATACATCTATCATAGAAAGCATTAAAATATATCAATTTTTTTACGGAATAATCAGTTATCCGAATGATATAAAGCTATATCCCATTCGAGGAGTTCACACTACTCTGGTGCTCATTTTTTCACGGAGTGTCCTAAGTTCGCGTCACGTAGGAAAACATGTCTTGTTTGCACACGAAAATTCGATTAACCTGATGTGAGTATCTATTTCGGTGAACATCATTCAATAGGCCCGGCGCAGCGTCTTCAATACCTCCTGTACCTTGCTCAGGAGTGAAATCACAGTCAACATATAAGCTTTGATTTTGAAAGGTCATCGGGTAAGTGTAACAAATTATTTTATGAAAGAACGTACTAATAACCGACACGGAATAAATTCAGTAGTTCAGGCAGTTTCAGCTGTCGGTGTAAAAAGATCTGAGGCAAAATTTTCAGGGTACTTCAAACACGAAGTGAAAGTGCTCTTAATCTTATAAAAACAATGGTAGATCCAAGTGGAAAGAAATTTGCTGCGCATACTTGCCACAAATTTTAGTTTTAGTTTTCCGGAATTGAGAGTCCGGGAGATGTGAACTGAGCAGTTGGTTGAGCAGTTTGCGCATCCAGTAATACAGTAAACACTCGTAGACGAATAAAAACACTTTCTAAAATTACTCAGAGTAACCGATAGTGGAAGTAAGGCATAACCATATGCTGCAGAAGTATTGAGGATTCCCAATTTTCCGGAAGTGTTGACAAAATTAATTAAGCTCCGTAGAACAACCAGCCCTGACGACTCGGAGGCTAATGACAATAGTTAAACAAGTCACACAAGCTGCAAGTTTTAGAATATTTCGGAATATCTGTCTAATGGCCAAACTGCTTTTTTCGCCAACCTACGTCCTACGCGCTCTCAGTGTCTCGGTCTTCACACGGATCCGTTAAAACACAATCATGCTGGGAAATCCGGCCTCTGTTCCAAGGAGGCTATCCGCGTGCAGGCAACTACTTCTGTAGAAAGACAGGCACACAAACTCGTCCAGCCTCTGTGGGAGCGTCCCGAAGGTGTACGTTTACAAAAGCTCTCACACTCGGTACAATCGAGCGCACGTGCACAATTCCCAGACATAGCGTCTACGAAATACTTGTTTATGGCGCCGTCTCATCCACTAAATGACAGTCGGTTTCCAAGCCGTCAACTGCTCAACGTGTAGACACACAAACACACGTGTAAGTAAAGTTGGAAGGAAGTCCAGGGTGCGGGGGGGGCTCAGCCTTACACTGCGTAGAACCTTGGTCTCTGCCGCAGTAGGGTTCAAGCGGGGCTGGGGGTCTGCCATCCGTTGTATGGCACGCAGATTCAGGTGAGCATCCAGACTGGGGCCCCAGGTAACTCTACAAAGAAGCCAAGGGATATGTGCTTGAGAA